AATCAATATATATATATATATATATATATATATATATATATATATATATATTTTTTAAATGACATATGAATAGATTGGAAGGCTATGGAAGTGCTTATGATACATACTTCTGTGTGTGTGTGTATCTTATGATAGATACATGATATATGTAAGATATATATATGTATATATAGGGTGTCCCCCAAAATGTATACACACTTTGAATAACTATTCATTCCAATGTGTTAAATCTGAAAAGAAAGAAACATCAGTTGAGCTATCTGCTGTTACAGTACGTATACATTTTTGGGGGACTGTGGTGTGTGTGTGTGTGTGTGTGTGTGTGTGTGTGTGTGTGTAGCATATGATATAAATATATCATAGACAAAAAAAAAGTATGTACTAGTAGCTCTTGCGGGTCGCTCACCTTCGTGGTCTTATTCTGAATAATAAATACCCCCTAGTGACCGGGGCACACATGCCTGTCTTCACAGCGGCCCCAGCATCAGCCTCCGATATGGAGTTCGAGAGTGGGATGGGCAAGGCTGGGTGGGGGAATACAGATGATTGAGGGGATTAAAAATAAAGGGCATTTTCCAACTCCACAGGTCAGAACGCAAGCTGCTCACTCTTCCAGCAAAACGCAGACACATCTGAACGCGAGAAAGCGTGGCCGCGAGGTCAAGGCACTGCCTTCCGCAAGCAAAGCCGGCCTTTCCCACGTCACTCACCCCGCGGGTCCGTCACTGCACCATCTTGTACACGGGGTCGCCCACTTTCAAGCTTCCGATTTTTTCCACCGAATAATAGATCCCAAAAAGTGGGGATGACTTGTAGATGTGCTTCTCGGAAGGATTACACAGGCGGTAGCTGAAAGAAGCCGGAATTCATCCTCAGGAATCCAAAAGGGTTAATAACCTAAGTGCTTTTGCCCTAGCCGGTTTGGCTCAGTGGATAGAGTGTCGGCCTGTTGACCAAAGGGTCCCGGGTTTGATTCCGGTCAAGGGCACATACCTTGGTTACAGGCTCCTCCCCAGTCTGGGCCCTGGTCAGGGCTCGTGCAGGAGGCAACCAATTGATGTGTCTCTCTCACATTGATGTTTCTCTGTCTTTCCCTCTCTCTAAAAATCAGTGGAAAAATGCCCTAGCCAGTTTGGCTCAGTGGATAGAGCGTCAGCCTGTGAACTGAAGAGTCCCAGGTTCGATTCTGGTCAAGGGCATGTACCTTAGTTGCAGGCACATCCGCAGTGCGGGGGCGTGCAGGAGGCAGCTGACTGATGTTTCTCTCTCATCGATGTTTCTGGCTCTCTGTCCCTCTCCCTTCCTCTCTGTAAAAAAAAAATCAATAAAATATTTTTAAAAAATCAATGGAAAAATATCCTTGGGTGAGGATTAAAAAATAAAAAATAATCATCTAAGTGCTTTTCATAGAATTCAAGCTTTCATCCCCAGCTTATTTATAAGCGGCAGGCCATAGATGCTTCTCTTTCTCATTGATGTTTCTCTCTCTCTCCTTCTCCCTCCCGCTCCTTTTCTCTCTCTCTACAATCGACAAAAACACATATTTTTTTAAAAATTGTCAAAAGCACTAAAAGATGCATCCAGAAGCAAAGAGGAAGCAGCACTCCCAATAACCGATAGACAGAAATCAACCGGAAGGCCGAGTGGAAGGTGCCCGAACAGAACCCCTCCGCCCACAGGTGGTTCTAGGTGGGGGTCACATTAAGTCTACCAGACCTGAGGCCCTGAACCTAACTGTCCCCTATACCTGGGCTCCTGAGCATTAAAGAGAAAAAACCAACATGACATAGAAAAATGTTAGTTACATGCAAACAAGTGGTTAGAATAAGATGGAACTTGGAGACATTGTAGAAAATAGGTCTACCTTTCATCTACCTTTCATCTAGCGCCAATATTCCACCTTTGTGTGGAAATTACCTAAAAATCGGTACAGCAGTCTGGTTTAAAAACACACTGGACACGTGTCCTACCTCTTCAGCGTCTCCAGGGGCTCCTTTCTGTCTATCACTCCGGTATCCGGGTCCACCGTGGTCATGACGCACCTGTCAGGCAGGAGCCACGGGTTAGGGGCCGATTAAGAACCGATGGGCGGGCCACACCCCAGGGGTCAAGTCTCGCGAGAGTCCTTACCTGGGGCAAGCCAAAACCTTTTTCATTTCCGTGCTGCCAATTCGGATTTCGTCCCAGGTATCCTAGGAGAAGAGGGAACACTATCTGTTGAATTAAGGCTTCATTCGTCTTTTTTTTTTTAAATTATTTTTTATCCAGATGTTTGCACAGCTTGCTCTTTACTTCACCACGGCCTCATTTTATTTTTATTTATTTTTTTTAAATATATTTTTATTGATTTCAGAGAGGAAGAGAGAGGGAGAGAGAGAGATCAATGATGAGAGAGAATACTGATTGGCTGCCTCCTGCACGCTCCCTATTGGGGATCAAGCCCGCAATCCAGGCATCAGCTATTGGGGTACATTTATGAGCTGACCCGAATCAAACCTGGGACCCTTCAGTCCGCAGGCCAACGCTCTATCCACTGAGCCAAACCGGCTAGGCAGTGGTTCTCAACCTGTGGGTCATGACCCTTTCACAGGGGTCGCCCAAGACCATCGGAAAACACATCTATAATTACATATTGTTTTTGTGATTCATCACTATGCTTTAATTATGTTCAATTTGTAACAATGAAATTGGGGTCACCACAACATGAGGAACTGTATTAAAGGGTCGCGGCATGAGGAAGGTTGAGAACCACTAGGCTAGGGCAAGGCTTCATTCGTCTTTAAAGCAGTTTATTCTTTGGCTGGTACTAGCCATGAAGCTAAGCACAAGAAAGAAGTGCGAGAAGACACCAAGGAATAGCTCCCAAAAGGACTCAAAGGTGATTGGGGAAGGAGTTTTCCGCACTGCCAACCCTGCAGGGTCGGAGTTGGCCCAGGCGAAAGGAGACAGCCGTTCCCATTCCAACACAGGGGTGGGGAACGTCCGGCCCACGGGCCCCGTATGAGGACCTGGAAATCCTTTGGTCTGGCCCTGCCAAGGCATTAGGGGTGAGTTCATGAAATGTTTGGCCAACAATAGCAGGCTGATTTTTAAGCTGATCCTTTCGTATGGCCCGGGAACGATGTTATAAATATCCAAAAGGTTCCCCACCCCGGCTAGTGTCTTGAACAGCACATTCTGAGCGTGATGCACAAAACCAGGGAGCCACTGACCTCCTCAAAGGCATCGCAGCCCGTCACCACGATATTTGGCCGGAATTGCTCCATCTTCACCTTCTTCTCTAGCCTGGTGTTCAGATCCGCCAGGGAGGCCTCCGAGATGATCATTACCGGGCTGCAGTCCGGGTAGGCCACCTGCGCCAAGAGCACGGTCCCCTCAGGCCTCGCCGCCTCGTGGCATTCCCTGGGCCAACTGCAAAGCTAAGCAAAGCCTAGAAGCCAACCCCGGCCGGTGTGGCTCAGTGGATAGAGCACCAGCCTGCGGACTGAAGAGTCCCAGGTTTGATTCCCAGTCAAGAGCACATGCCTGGGTGGCGGGCTCGATCCCCAGTAGGGGGCGTGTAGGAGGCAGCCGATCCATGATTCTCTCTCATCGTTGATGCTTCCCTCTCTCTCTCCCTCTCCCTTCCTCTCTGACATCAAAAATATATTTTTTTTAAAAAGTCTAGAAGCAAAAACACCCAAGTGCAGAAGGGAAGAGGGGATGCTCCGAGCTTGGAAATGGCCAAGTCAGCTCTGGGCTTAAGGGGGGAGGGGGGTTCCCCGCCGACCATACACTGAAGGCAGCAGCCAGGCT